AAGTTTCACTTAAAGTTACAGGTTGTGTGAACGCTGCTCGCTTCACGTATGAGACAGCAGCCGTTCAACGCGGCGCTCATCCACCTGTCAGTGAGGTGGTTCTCACCGCCCCAGGTGGAGGCGCAGATGTGTCAGTGTTGCTCGTGAACAGCTGTGCCTGAAACACAGCTGTGGCCTGAAGCTAAACACGGTGGGTGGATTTTCCCAGATCAAAGATTAAAACTGCGTAAAAGGCAGCGAGGCTTTGGACTGTAGTTACACAACATCCTCGTGCCTGATGGCTTTTTGTTTGAAGTGCTTTTATTTAGCTAGCAACAAAGAAAACTGCTGACATGTCAGTGTTTGGACTTGTAACCAGGTGTGTTTAACGCTGCAGACCTGCCTGCAAGACCCACAAGACCACAGAGTCTCAGCTGACACACACACAGAGCGCAGCAGTACGACACGGACAGTAAGCTAACGTATTGGATGCTGGAGATGACGGATGACCCACTTGGAACGGCACCAAACGTCTGCGGCAGTCAGGAGATTAGAAGCCTGAACAAGTCCTGACTGCACCGCGTCGGCTGCCCGCTCTCAGCTCAGTGTCAGGCGTGCTAATCGTTTGTCACGTGACGCTTTAATGGCAGCCGTCACAGCGGTGAGGCCAGAGGCTCCGGTGAGTGTTTGCCTGAGTATGACCTGAGGCTTCGGGAATGTGGAGCGTTGGTGTCGGCACATCAAACGCCGTCGTCATGCAGAGCCCTGTGTGGGCTGCAGGGTCAGGGTGGCGTGCGCTCGTGTCACAAACTTCAGGCTTTAACGTCACTGAACTTAAAATCTGGGAGTTGGAAAAGTTGCTTATTGGAACAATGCAAAGCAGCACAGTGCTGTGCAGAAGTCCTGAGCCAGCCCTCGTTTCAAGGAGCCAGACTTTCTGGAGGTCTTACAAAACCTTTGATTTGGCTGATCTTGTGCCGGACTATTTTCATTTAATTATGAAGGCATCTGCACATAACAGACACACGGGCAAAGATTTTCAACACATCGTCTGTTCCTGCTTCGTTAGTAGAGTCTGTCAAAATCTCACAGTTTAGTGTTTTTAGACGAACAGGGTGATTCCCAAAGAGCAGTTACCTGGAAACCTGGGATATCTCTGTGTGCAGCATGTCCTTAAAAACATGTGAGAAGAAGACGTGTAAGGGCCAAAAACTAAGAACTGACACTGGAGATGATCAGCTGATCATCTGCTGGTCACCGGCGCTCCTGCTGGTTTTAGGCCAAACTTTTACCGTAAAACGGTTCCTGGAAGCATCGACTCTGTGCGCCGCAGCCAAGTCTCAGGTAATAACAGTGACAAACTGAGTAAAAGGTAACAGGAAGTGAAATGTAAAATAAAATGTTTTCTGTGGAGCTCCATCATCTCTCTCTTCTCTCCGGGTGGAGGGCTGATGGAGCGATGGCGTCTCTGTGGGGCGCCTCTGCCACTCGTCTGCGTCCCGCCTCACTCCGAGGCTTTATCTCAGATAACAGTGTTTGTGATTCTGTTCTGTCTCCAGGCAGCGGTGAACGGGGACACGCCTCCAGCTGAGGGCCTGTCCGAGAATGACAGCGGAGTGGAACTGACCAATGAGAACAGCCCCCTGACCGCGGCCGAGCCGCCTTCACCCTTCAGCCCCAAACAGAACGGAGACGCTGCCTCGCCTCAGGGTAACTCACGCCACTCGTCTTTACGCCGTCACTTATTTCATGTGAGACCTTTATTTTGAAGGTTCGCTGGCTTCCTGTGTGTTTGCGGACAGAAACTTCACATTAAAAGGGAAAATGTGGGAATGATTACAGCTGCCTGTGAGGTCACGCGTTTCTCAGACTTTCACTTCATGTTTCTGCTGCGGCGATGATTTCCTGCTGTCAGCATGATGATGATGATGATGATGATGATGATGATGAGCTGCATTTCTTCAGATTAAGTTTCTGCTTCAGTTCTTTAAAAGTCACGAGAACCTGGAGCCTGACGGAGCGATGCAGCGTGTCTGCGTCTTCACTTATTAAACATTTAGTGCATTTTTAATCACTTAACTGAGATGTTTATGTTCTGCTGTGTGAGGTTTTGTGTTTCTTCTTGAAGCTGTTGAACTGCCGAAATCGTCACGTTTAAGCTCTTTGACTTTGGCAGCCGTCTGCCCGGTGACGCCGTCCCGCGAAAATATTCAGTTTCTCTCGGACCATCTGTCTCACCTTCTGTCCATCTGTTGTCTTCCCGCCACAGATGGTAACCAGTGCTCGAGGGGAAGCAGGAAGAGGAGCAGGAAGAGACGCGAGGACGAGGAAAGCACCTGGGACTCGGTACGACTCTCGCGTAGGAGCTTTTCACCGCCCTGTGATTTAGGCGAGGGCAGAGGGGACACTGGTCTGGTGTTTGTCTCTTTGCAGGGCAAGTCTTCAGGAGCGTCTCAGCTGGGCTTGAGACAGACGCCTCGACCCAGAACCATCTTCCAGGCCGGCCTGACGCCGCACGCACACGGCAAGCCTCGCAGACAGAGCCGCAAACAGGAGCACGGCACGTCTCCGGTAAACTCTCGGGAATGTGCAGCCGTTAAAAACATAAAACATGTTGTCCACGCGGCGAGCTTAGATGCAGCTGATCTTCTTCTAGAATACAGAAAAAGATATTTGGATTTATGAAAGTCTGCAAAACGTTAACGGCTCGACTGACTCAGCGACCAGCAGGGGGCAGGAGGGAGGGGACAATGCAACAAGCTGCACAGACACACATCCATCCACCTCGGGGTGGGGTAGAGGTGGTGCTGTCAGTTTGCAGCCTGCAGAATCGCTTCTCCTCCTTCATCCTCACTTCTTTCATAAAAGAGTTTAACAAAGACGCTTTTTATTCATTTTACTTTGTGTTTGAATATTTGGTCAAAGCGGGATGATGCTGCCGACTCATCGCAGCTCCAGGATGATTGTTGCTGTCGAGTCTGTGCTCCTCCCACTTCTTCCTCTGTCAACCTTCCCTCTCCCTGCCCTCAGTGTCCCGGGAATCCTCGGGCACCTGCGGTCGGGTCCGGCGGGGTCCCGGAGACTCCTCGACTGGAGCTCATGGAACAAGACTCCAAAGACTCGGCCCAGAGCACCAGCGCCCAGAGCACCAGCACCTTGTCCAGCTCCGAAACCAAGCAGGAGTACAGCGTAAGTCCACATGAGTGCAAATCTCCCCGTTTGTGATGATGTGATCAGTGCGGTTCTCATCCTCGTCTTCAACAAGATTTAGCTCCTCCCCTTTTAAGGCCACTTTCAAACACAGGGCGACCTGTGCTGGCTTCCTCTTGGATATTTTCTCATTGATAATTAATGCAACAGCTGTGAACTGCTGCGTTAAGCCACGTCTCTTCTGATTGGCCACACCTCGTAGACAGACAGGTTGAACAGGAGGTGGGCGGGACTTCAGACGGCTCATAATGTTCAGTTTTTTTCTGCTGTTGGTACTGTATGATGTCACAGAGAGGCAGTACGGCTGCTGTTTAGACTTTTACAGAAGGGCAGCCAATCAGGTGGAACCGGTGGAGTCCAGGAATAATAAACGAAGCTGGAAATGACCCGAGGAGTCCACGTGGAAACTCGTGATGGAAGCTCTGAGCTCAGAGGAGCCACTCCGTCAGAGGGGTGTAGCATCCACGCAGCCCGCTGGGCTGAAGGGTCACATGGCCCGGGCTCCACCAGCTGCTCGTTAAAGAGCCGCTGCCCCGGGAAACGGCTGTGATGTCATCAGTGATGAAGTCTCTGCAGGGGAAGCAGCGTGTCTTCAGCCGACGTGGACGAACACACATTTTGTTTTAGTCTTTTTTATTATATTTGCACCACAACAGAACTACAAACCAACTAAGTGGGAGGTCCGCAGGTTTAGGGAATGCTCGCAGACGTGACCGGCGTCTGATAACGCTTTGACGTTCACGTCCACGATGAGGAGACTTTGCTGTACGAAACGTCTCGCACTGATTTCACCCGACTTTAATCTTTGATTCGTCTTTAATTAACAGAAAGTGACGATGCTCGTGAATGAACTCAGCACTTCCTCCCGTGTCTCTGTTTAGGACAACAAGGGCTTCGGGATTGGCGAACTGGTCTGGGGGAAGATCAAAGGCTTCTCGTGGTGGCCGGGGATCGTGGTGACGTGGCGAGCCACCGGCAAGCGGCAGGCCAGCCACGGCATGAGGTGGCTGCAGTGGTTTGGGGACGGGAAGTTCTCTGAGGTGAGGAGGCGCAGAAACGCTGTGGCGTCGGGATGGCGGGACGTGTGTGTTTGATGGCGTGTTCTCTGCTCCAGGTTTCTGCAGACAAGCTGGACTCCCTCACCGCCTTCCCCAAGTTCTTCAGCCAGGCTTCCTACACCAAGCTGGCCTCGTACCGCAGGGCGGTGTTCCAGGCGCTGGAGGTCAGTGTCAGGGTTGGCTATCTGCAACTGCTCCCTGTATGTCACATGATGCACCTGTTACCTGCAGTTCTCTGCGTCACATGAGCCTCGTGTGACAGCAGACCTCCTCTGAGACTGTTTCCTCTTTCTTACAGCGGTTACCCAAAGCTAGTCGATTCTGATTGGTTCTTTGTTTTGGTGTGCAGCTTTATTGACATCTCATCTAGTTTTAAATGAGCGTGCGCAGCATTTCTGTCATCAAACAAGCAAAACAGAGTTTGTGACTCATCTTAAATAAATGTAGCCTGGAGGTGTGTAACCATGTGGTCAACCTTTAAATGCGCCCTGCCTGCGTCCTGATTGGATGTTTCTTTTTTATTAACTTGGGGTTCCTGTCTCCCCCGACCCCACGCCCTCGGGGTCGTTCACTTAATATTATGTAACATAAACAATAAACATGCAAAATTTTACACTGTAGGTCCCAGTGTCAGAAACCAGAACCAGCGACATGCAGACAAAACACACACAGGATCACATGTGTGTGTTTACTGTGTGTGACTGTGTTTACTAGGAGTGCAACGATACTCGTATCGATATTGAACCGTTCGAT